TATACTCTTTAGAGCTGGTTGGAGAGTGTTATCACCAGTTTCACTGATTTCATCGTTGAGAGGAGTAACAATCTATCCAAGAAAATTTTCCAAAACGCAAACAAATGATTGCTTTGTTTACTTAGGACCTGCGTCGTTCAAGCGATCCGTTTGAATTAAAAAACTGATGAATTTCACTATTTGGAGTGGCAGTTACCACAAAAACAACTCAATGACTTATCTTATTTTCAATTGTGCCTGAGATTTAAGATAAACGAAAAAACCCTGATTTTTTTTGCTGACAAACTGTTTATTCTCGATCTAAATTCAAACCTAGCTTAAAAATAAGCATTTTAAGAACGCCAGATTATCCTTAATGACTTAGATACTAATTAACGCTGAGTTGGCACGCACTCTGAATTTCATCATTTTATCCGATTAATGGGTTCATTTTCCAGGTTTAGAGCTTAGAAATTAAAAAGCTGTCCTTAAGTTCTCATTACTTCATTTTTTTGCTGGGAAATCTCGACTATGATTTGCGATTCGTAATAACTGTTATTTTGGAAGTAAAAATACTCCCTGGAGAGGACTGAGCATTGGTTTGAAACGGCTCGAGGGTGGGAAAAGTCAGGTCGATTGAACAACTACCGCTGGGTCTTGGAGGTGGATAATAAAGAAAAAGACAATTTGAAAAAAAAGCAGTAAACCAGCTTTTATAAGTCTGATGATTAATTTCGAGTAGAAACATATTTTTTCCAAAACGAAAATGATCTTTTAATAATTTATAGTTTTCCGCATTAATAATTCATTAAAAGATTCGTCCAGAAGTCAGTTCGATGTATACTTATAGACACTGAAATGTGGACTATCGAAATCATGATGAAAAAGCAATTTGAAAAAGGAGACTACTACGTTTAAATATACGATGGGGTTTTGAAAGGATGTGATTAAGCTTTCAAATGTTACCCTTTTTTTCTTCTTATTGGCGGGTCTTAAGGATAGTTTGCATAACAAATACACGTTACTTTTTGTCATTTTAATTTTAATTAACAGATCGCGAGAATGGCGCCGGTCCTCAGTAAACAGAGCGCGATCATTTGTTTGCGTTTTGGAAAGTTGTCTTGGATAGATTGCTTCTTCAACCAGCTCTCAACGATGAAATCAGTGAAACTGGTGATAACACTCTTCAACCAGCTCTGAAGAATATCCTCATTTTAATTTTAAAAAAGACCGCAATTTTCACTTAACTTCTATAAAATATTCTGCTAGCCTTGTTGAAATAGGATTATTAACTTGACTGTTGGACGTCTGAATGCGTAGATCAAAGGGGTTTTTTAGTCATAAAAACACGCCAAACCATCATAATGACCATTCCCTCTCTACTTCAGATATGTGCCGACATCTCAAGTTTAACAAACCAACTCAAGGCTTTGCCCTGGAAGGTCATGTAATAAAAATCTATTCTATAGGATTACATGAATCCTGTAAAAATCTGTGCACAATGGACAACCGGTGTGTCTCATTTAACACCGGTCCATCGGCGAAACCAGACAATATGGTGTGCGAGCTGAGTGATTCTGATGCCAAAAGACATCCCGACGATCTTAAGTCACGAATGGGCTTTTTTTACAGAGACGCTAAGGTGAGAGATCGAACACTCTTTGCAGAAATTAAAACTCGCAACAACCACATGCTACATAGAAATATCGAGCCAGAAAATTTTACGCTCTTTCATTAAGAATATTTTAGCGTAATATTGGTTAATGCAAATGATTAGTATAGAACTAACGGTTTTTAACGGATCAAATCTTGAGGCTGCGCAACCATTCCACCTTCACTTAAAAAAAGGAAACCGAGAAATAAGGAATCAGTGACGAGAGCTCAAAACTTTTGCCATTTTTTTTTCAGAACTTATGTAGCAACATAATTTGTTCCCATAACGGAACTTGTCTGACAGGATTCACAGATAAAGGATATTTTTGTGAGTGCAAATCTGGTTCGGGATTTACTGGACAACACTGCGAAAAAGGTAAAAATAAAAAAGGAAATCTTCTTTTGATTTTACCTTTTTTACAAATATTTCTGCAAGTAAATCGGTCGCTTTCAATGGGGATTTACGATTCATATACCTTCAAATTGTGCGGATATACCAGTTGGTCATTTAACTTGGCTTGTTAGTAGCTTGATCAATTCATTATGACTAGAGAGCTACAATCTTGCCCCAAAGTCTTGACGGATTTCGATGAAAGTGCCCTTACTTAGGCGTCTCTTTAGGCGTGCCGTTCTCTTTTCTCTCTCTCTTGTAATGTTGATTTTAACACCATTTATCATTACTCCCGCTCTCATCACTGGTGGGGGGTAGGGGCTTAGTCACCATTAAACGATCAATACCAATGTTGCCTGTTTAACTGCCTTTTTCGTATGTATTGCGAGATTCTCTCAAGGACGTTTGAACATACGTACGATTTAAATAGTTATCCAGCCTTAGCGATTGCATTAAAACGCCAATCTCGAACTACCTCTATCATCTGAGATTAAACATTTTTTGTTGTATAAATGAATCATTTATTAATCACGCACACATTACATTGCATTGCCTCTCATGTTTGTTTCAGAGAACTGGAAAAAGGTCAACAATGCCGCCATTTGCTTCGGGGGTGTAGAAAACACTCAAAGAAATTTTTCAATGAGGGAGTCCGGCCTGATATTTACATTCAAGCTTGTTTACAGGAGTGGCGATGGTATTAAATGTAATCCTGGTGTTTCTTCAGCATACTGGGGATGTACGAGCCCTTCAGTGGGTGAAAAGAAACTTTTTACAGTCATAACATTTCCAAACAAGACTGCTCTACCGATTGCAGACTACGCAAAAGATACCTCTAGCTGCAACTTTAAGTATCATTCATATCAACTTAATGGCACTGATGTAAACTCAACCGAACTGGTATTTAAAACAATGTTTTCCCCTTTGCCAGTGTCGATTGGCCAAGTATTCCAAATTTGGTATGCGGAAGTCTTAGATAATTGCTATTGGAGTAATAACAGTGGCGAGACATGCGCTGATGTTTACGCGTGGTATGCTTAGGATTATTCTTTATATTGCCTACCACAGCCTTGCATCTCATGATGTCACGCATGACCAGTGTACAAATTCCATATCTAGCCGCGTTTTCTTTATGGCTGGAGTTCAGGAGGAAGCAGTACATTAGCAACTCCTTGTAAATGTAATCATGTTGATAATGCCTCTTGATAAATGGGTGGTGGTAACTCTCTTTTATAGCGGACCTCGAGTGCGCGAAACGAGCCAGCGGAACCCTATACCTAAGGAAATATGGTAGCCTAGTAAGCGAAGGAACATTTTTTATCACGTGATAGCCGTACCTCGTTTTTGGGTACATCTGTATAATAGGAGCTTCACCTGATTTATATATTAGCAAATATTTATCCACCAACACAAAGTGAGAAACGGCAAAACTCGTCAGAGATATTTTCCGCTTTTCATGGATTTGGCTTTATATTTAAAATGGTAACAAAAGAACAGGTACCTGTCCTTGACAAAAAATATTAAATATCGGTGTGGAATAAAAAGTAGCAAAAATTGAGAGACATTTTAAGGTAGATGTCTGAGTGTTAGGTCGAAAAAGAATTAAAGTACTTCGTATAGTTCTCTCGATGCTGATGTCTCCAAAAGAAACTTTTTGATATTTGTACCTGTACAATAAAGCTAAAGCAAACATAAGAAACAGCTGGACTTATTAGAAACGTTTTAATCGTTCTTGGTATAAATACTTTTATTCTTCTATGGATTGGCACTGCGTTTAACTTTATTGCTGTATGATAAAAGAAAACTGTTGACGGCAAAATTATTGATAAACGCCCAACGAAGCTTCGATACTTCAGACAATTTTGGTAATTAATAACTGCCACCAGATGTGCATAATGAGCCTTCCATAGTATGGCTTGGAGTTTTGAGGAATGTATGAATTATTGTAACTTTCAAAAACTCATTAATAATTCATAAGCCCATTAACCTATCAAATGGTAGATAACACATCACGTGCAGTGACTTTATATCGATAAACCTCATCCTTATTAGTATGCGGTGTTTTATCAGATATAAAGACACTGCACGTGACTTATGAATATTAATTAATTATCAACACAGAAACTGACACAACAAATGGTGGGAACATATTTAATGTTCTTTCAACAAATTTCACACAGTAAATTTAATTTTGCACCAAATTAATAGTACAGTTGTGAAATACACATCTGGAAAAATTCTCATTTTTAGGCTTCCGAAAAGCTCTGGAATAGGACGCCATGTCCTTTTCGGTTAGTAGAAGAAAAGTACAAAACACGTGTGAGATTTGATTTTCTTGCATACTAATTTAATCCCTAATGTTTTTCTCGTATGCTAATTTCTAACGTTCACAAAAGCATAATTGTTATGAACTCTCTTGACACACGCTTTTCCAAGAATGTTTTTGAAGCCGTTCAAAAAACTCGCAGCACGTGTTTTATCGGGTCAAAAACCACTCGGCTACGCCTCGTGGTTTTAAACCCGATAAAACAATCCTGCTCGTTTTTTAAACATTACATATAAATCCGCGAGTGATTTTGATGTAAATCCAGTAAAGACAGTGCACAGTCTTGGCCTCTCATCGGTGACACAAGAGTCAATTGAACGGATCTACAACTCTTGCTGTCACTCCGTTCCAAGAGATTGCTCTCTGAATTTACCTTTTATTTCGAAAAAGAAATATGGAACTAATCAAAACTAAAGCTCGCTAAGTGTTCAGTTCATTGCATACCTGAAAATAAAATGATCTTGCTTGAGCAACAGTGTTCTATCATACACAGTGTACAGGACATATTTTATGTACAAGCTTATTCAATGTGTCTTTTATCGGGGGTCCATTTCATTTCAAGATTAAATAAAGCCGGTTTTTTTTGCAGTTTTCATTAGGCAATAGAAGCTCTTTAAAAGTAAAATCAGATTAAGTTTAAGGGCGCATGTATCATCCAAAGTGGTTTCTGTACCAATCATGTATTTGTCGTGGTATGTTCATGATAGAGTGCCGAATGCGTCTCATCTTCCAACAGTAAATTACAGGGTTTAAAGATGAATTCAGAAACATGAGGGATAACGAAAAATAAAATATTTTCCCAACTGGCTTGCCACGATGATTTAATGCCATGATGAAAAAGAAAGTAAATGTCAGCGAGTAACAAATGAAAAGGACGATATACAAGTAGAAAACACCGATTACCAATTTAATAAGACCAGCAAAATTTGCCCTTTCACCAGGCTGCGGAGCTTCGCGTTGCACTTGCAGGGACTGTATTTGAGTCTTGTGGTGCCTTACAGCTAAATAAATCTTGAAGTAGGCCATTGCTGTCAGAAAGTGAAAAAAAATCGCGAGAATAGTTGTGATGAAGTTGGAAAGGTGCAACGGAAACCAGAGCCACATCACAGAAAGAAAAACACTCAGCGTCCATGTGGAGATCACCATAATAACGACCCGCTTGTGAGTCACAAGTTCTTGATATCTTAGATGAAGATGGATGGCTAAGAGCCTGTCCAGGGTTATGGCTGTGGTACCACATAAAGAAGCCACGCTAAACAGAATCAATGTGACATGAAAAGCCGTATAGAAAATACACTCGGGGTTGCTGCCCTCTAACAGCTTGTATTGAAATGAAGTGTAGAATGGCTGAGCAAATAAACTTACACCAACATCGGAAACAGCAAGATTCATCAGTAACGTGCGGAGTGTTCTTGGCAAAGAGGATGTTTTTCGTATTCCATGGATTGTCAATACGTTTAACATTATTGCTGTATAACATAGAAAACTGTTGACGACCACACTTAAGGCATAAGTCCAACTAAGCTTCATTACTTCAGATATTTTTGGCGATACCTGTCGCCAGTAGTTGCATACGGAGTCTTCCATGATAGGGACAAGAGTCTTGACGAAGTCGTAAATGGTGAGGTGAAAGCGGGTGAAATAGCTCTGTAGGATGATCTTTTTCAAAATACTGACTGGGATAAAAACTCCACGAGGAAGCTCAGTGGGGAAATTCTTACATCAAAGAGATGTGATGCAGGATGGAAATCCTGTGGTGAAACGAGGGAAGAGGCAGAATGAAGATTAGATCATGACAGTTGTTCTTTATTTGTTTGTTAGACTACTTTAAATTAATATTTCTCTTGACGCAAGATGTATTTTTATTTGCTTTCATAAAAGCTTTTATGCATCCGGAGGTATGCTTAGGAAAATGAAACATTTCACCATTTGAGAAAAAAAAACCGCCTTTTTAATTACTCAACTTACCCACGATGTAAAGAACAGTCAATACTAAAAGTCAGTTCTAATAACTACGGCTTGTTAAGTGCCTTAGAAGCCCTTTTTAAATTAAACTCATCGGAAGTCATGTAATTTGTGCAAAAGACTATTTTCCATGGATTTTTGTCAAATCTTTGGCCTCATGTTTAGAACGATTACTTAACTAAATAAATAATTTTAGTGGAGGACGTTTAAGGTAAGAAGAGACACATGAACAAGATGGTGTAAACATTGTCAGGTGAGTTTTAGATAATGTATCAATTGGTAAATTGTTTGATAATTGTATATTTCCTTTACGCCGGGTAGCTTTTTAATATTAGACCACTTTAAGTTGTTATTTTAATTGACAGCTACCGGTATAATCGAGTAACAGTACTAAATGAAATATTTGTAAAAGCAAAAAACAAAAAAAATTCCATTTTTATAAATTACTTGAAATTGGCAGCTGCTCAAACAAATTTTTTTCAAAATAAAGTATGTAGATATTACGAATAATTGCAGTGAATTAATGTGGCTTCTTGGCTTCTTGCCGCTTGTTCAGCGTATTTTATCTACAAGCATTTCCCTTGCCGTCACCGCTTTGTGAACTACCTTTATGAAACTAGCTTTGATATAAAGAAAAAACAAAAGAAAACCGACAGCTTGCCGCGCATTTAGTCACAACAGTACCAGAGAACTAGATGATGTTGCACAATCATGATTTTATTCTCAGACTTAAATCACAAAATTGACTATAATTTACTTGGTTTTACATATCAAGACTAGGCAAACTATCACTAATGCCTGCGTGATGTTTAAGCCCTGATAGTAAACACACCCACAGTTGTCGTTTTGCAACAACTTGACAAGAGGTGAAATGTAGAATGGCTGACCAAATAAACCAACACCAACATCAGAAATAGGAAGACATATCTTTAATGTTCTAAGTGTTCTCGGCGACGTCGATGCCTTCTGTTTTCCATGCATTGCCAATACGTTTGACGTTATTGCTGTATAACAAAGAGAACTGTTAAGGACGAAGTTTGTGCTATACTATACGCCCAGCGAAGCTTCGAATGTTTAATTTTCTTTCGTAATGGTTGCAACCACTGGTCACAAACTGAGGCTGCCATGGTAGGAACTAAAGTACAGAAGAGGAAGGAATTTATAACATTGCGAAGATCCCCGTGAAACAGTGTAGAACCAAAAACTACCTGAAGAAACTGAGTCAAGAGAACTGTATGTAAAAGATGATGATGATGAAACGGATTGTGAATCCCAGTGGAGTGCTGTTGCTCTGCGATATCCTAATGTACCAAAAAGCTTGAAGTAGGTGGGCAACAAGTACCAGTCTATTTCATAACTCTCTCCTCGTATAAGTGGGACAGACCAATTAAGAATTCTATTTCCCCTACTTCAAGTTACCGCAAATGACATCTTATTACATCCGGAGCTTGCAAAACTTTTTTTCTATAATGGATCGTGTCAAATCTTTGGCTTCATATCAGGAATGGTAACCGAACGAAAGGTTCATGTGAAGGGAGCAAATAATATACATTCAATAACAACCAAAAAAAAAGAAATAAAATGAAACAAAAATCAACCACCTAATATAAGAGGAAGATAACCCTTGATGGCCATGGCGAAAATGAAAGCTTCCGATAAGATACCACGTGGTTCTAATGTTGTGGCTGCTGCTTTGGTTCTTTTTTTTGTTTGGTTGTTGATTTTGTTTCAAAGAGGGGCACGTTTACCTGAAAAACCTGTTGAGAATTCTTCGAAGTAGCGGTGATATTAATTAACCGAACAATTTTTTTAACTCTTTTTGTAGAATTGGGTATTGCAATTGTTCAAGAAAGGTTTTTCTTATCTTATCGCTTGGTTTCTAGATCATGGACAGGCATGGTAATTTCTCATATACCACGGTTACTATTTGTCCAACTTTCACGCGTGTTATCAAATGATCAGAGAAGGTATCGTTCATGCTGTAGAACAAAAGGAAATTTACTAGGTGTTTATTTCGCATCCTGAGCACAATGGGTTTCCAGATAGCCGCAGTTTGCCAAAATGCTAATCTTGGCCTCCTCAAACGACTTACATTGGTACAATTTCAGAAAACCTTAACCCACATCGTTCCATGCATGTTGTTTCTTCATGTCAATAAAATTCGTACTCAATTTAATGGAACAACTTGAGAGATCTACGGACCTAACCTAGCCTCCGGGAAATATTTTGATAATAGATACTTATAATTCGATAAGTTAAAGTTCCTCATTGATAGAAAGAACTGGTTAGAAAATCAGCTCAACAGCTCGAAACAGATTAAAATATTTGTCTAATGAAAAACAAGTGTCATTTGGGAAACGAAATTAGATTTGGAGGCTTTTCTGTAAACGATATCATGTCGCAGCTGATCAGTTAAAAATACAATTTCTGGAAATTCAATGAACGACGAGGGCTACCCTTGACAACCAATCCTAGAGTTGAGATAAAAAATGGTTGACTCTCCAGGACCGTGCTTAAGAGCTGCTTAACAGCATTTTCCTCTAACATCAACATACTAATGTCGACTAATGTGTCACACCCAATTTTTCAAGCACTGATATTTTAAAATTGGTAATTCTCGAGTTCGTTCTCAAACTGTTAAATTGACAAAAACAAATTAATTTCAGATGTGAATGATTAATGCGTCAACAGTATGACAGACAGTACGGTATGACAGTATAACAGTATGACAGACAGTATGACAGAAATTAAAAAAACAAGTCGTTTTGTGTTTTCACTTCCCATTGGTCTGTTATGCTATGGTGACGTGGATATTCTAACCGTTATAAATAACACTGTATCACTTTGTATCATATTGGCATTACTCGGATCGAATCCGGACAAGCAATTGCCAAAGTTGAATACACAAAAACAAAGCTACGGCGAAGAAGGAAAGCAATGGTGACGAAGGAAGTTATCTTCCTACTTGTAATTCTTACTGCAGCAGCAGTAGGTGAGTAATCAAGCCACTCTCAGCTATTTTAAGTATTCCTCCAATAAGTAAAGGCCATTTGTGATTAGCTAAGATATTCTAGCTGAACCTTCGTCCGCCAATATTTTTAACTTTTTTTTTTCTCGTGTCAAACTAAGTATTATTATTTTAACTATAAGTTCCAAGTTTCCCATGCAAACTTTACGGATTGCCTTGAAATTTGATCCGAAGACTCCCAAAAAAACTAACCCAAAAAACCGCGTGAGGGAATTCCGTTTTTCAAAATGGATCTCCTACAATAGCCTCCGACGTAACACGGATCGATGAAATTTTCATTATCAGCAAGCTTGACGGATAAATTGCAAAGCAACCAGTAAGGACATGGAAAAATCCCTACACGGCTGTGGAGACCAACCTCTGTGGATTGAAATTCTGCAGAAGTTTTATTGGTGCGGTCAGATTTGATATGCAATTAATTCGCTCAAAGAAACATCCATTTCGAATCGTCACGCCCCATTTGGCTTACGATTAGATCATGCTAAAACGAAATTATTTTAGCCGAAGAGTACAATTCATAACCTTTCTATAAATCTAAAATTTATGATGGTTATGCTTCAAATAGTGCGATAAATATATTTTTTTTTGCGAAGGACACCCGCGAAGGACACCCGCGAAGGTCTACGAAAGTCCGAGGTCCACCGTATTCTGTTTCATGATTGAACAAACGAGAAGAATACGAATAATTATCATATTCCACATGGCAATGAATTTGTAAAACATTTTGTAGCGAGGTGTCTCGTTGACATTTTAATGCATTTTGGCCCAATCAAACTTCAGTAAGCGTCTGAGAAGCACCTCCTTACAACCGCCGCAGACAAAGCCTCTAAGGTTGTCGTTTTTATGACTACCATCTTTCATTATCTTCCTCGAATATGCGCCCGCGCTCCAATAAGTGCCCTCCCTTGAATATGCGCTAACCTCCTAGCTAGGCCATAATAGCTAACTGATTGATTGACTAACTTGCTTGAAATACCAGAATTGTAGTTCCTTTATCGTTTCCAATTGATATGTCCCGGAAGGGTCACTTTACCTATCGATATTAGGTTTTGGATTTATATTCTTAACTTTAAGTAAATTTATGGGCTTGTGCCATCTTATTTCAGTTACATGATAAAAGTTAAGCAAAAGAACTAAAACTGATTACGCTCGATGGATGCTTAGAAATTTTTTTTCTTTTAATATTCTTGTGAAGCAAAATTTATTAGCGTATGCAAATACTGCTGTATACATTGTTGATTATTATTATCAAATTATTATCATGACGCCGATTTGCCGAACTGGTGAAATTTTAACTCTTTGTCACCTGTATTTCTGCAGGTTTCTTATGGCCCTCGAAGGTCTGCTATGAAAAATACGGCTGCTTCTACAAACATCCTGGAGTTCATTGGGGTTTGATTACGCTCAGGCCAAAATTACCACAAAGCCCATATGATGTTGGCACGAAATTCACCATGTTCACAAGAAGTGGGTCTGGGGAAGTTAATGATTTTGATAGGGATTTACTGAGGGCGGCTAAGTTTAACATTTCGCGACGAACTATCATCTTGATTCATGGCTGGCAGGGTAGGTAATACGAATGGTTTCAGTTTGAGCTCTTAAACTTGGAATAACCGAAGGCTTGAGGGCTTGAGCTTGAGAATTATAGTAATAATTGTAATAATACTTAAAGAGGTTACCCAACTCGTCAGGGCAGTTTTCAGCGGGGTCTTTAAAACAGGGCGTATTAAGTTTCAAGACTCAATCGTTTACCCGCAAGCTATTCCATACAAGTAATACGGTAAAGTTATTTTTCGTTCATTCATGTTTTTGGACATCCCGTATGGATCCATGAAAAAGAAGCATTCCTGAAACAGACAGAAATATGTTAAAGGACTCTACGAACCTCAGATAACTCGAGTCTAAATAAAAGCTTTGACTATTTATGAGCTTAATGTCTCTCCTGGAATAAACGACGGACTTAAATTTTCTTTGTTCTTTTGCTCGTGAAAAGTGAATTCACTTAAATAATAGCAATATCGGTAATAATATTTTATCAGGGAACCCAGCAGTTTTAAGCGGGGCCTTCGAAAAAAGGTGCGTATCAATCTTCAAGACTTGATCCATTAAACGGGACTTATTCCATGGTCATTTTGCGTTCATCCATGTTTTTCGGAAATCCAGTATGGATCCAGATTAAAACACTCTGAGAAACTCAGAGTCTAAATTTAAGTTATGACTACTCTTTAGCTTAATATTTCTCACAAATTATATCACATCTAGATAATCCAAATAACTGGCCCTTAAAAATGAAAGACGCACTTTTACAGCGAGAGGACTGTAATGTGGTTGTGGTGGACTGGTCTAAAGGAGCAAAGAAAGGTTATTTCCAATCTGCAGGAAATACTCGACTTGTGGGGGCTATGGTGGGGGAGCTTATAAAGTTCCTGATTTCCAGTGTTGATGGGTCACCTGAATTGGCCGAGCGGTTTTATGTTGTAGGAGTTAGCCTTGGTGCTCAGACGGCAGGATATGCTGGAAATTATCTGAAGGAGAAAGGCATCAAGCTCGGGCGTATTACAGGTACTTCTGAAGATGGAATATTGATTCCAGCCCATGGATACTTCTTAGATTCCTTAAAATAATCAGTCACCTCGCGCTCCATGAAAACTTACTGTCAAAGTGGAAGAGCCGTTGAAAAAAAGTCCAAGATTTGTAAATTAAAACAGAAGCAGGCGCAGGATGAGCAAAAATATGGGGCCGGAATGCTTTATTTGAAGTGCAAGATATCGTTCAGTCCACATTTTTGTTCGCACTGCTAACCAGGCGTAATTTTACTCGAGTGTAAGCGACATTTTCAAGACTAGCCGAAGATGTTCGCAAGTCTCTTTTGGGGATTCTCTTTGTTTACTTTGTCGGCAATTCATCTGGGAAATAAATTAATAGAGGACTGCTTTTATATTGTATGGAATACATTTTACGCCTTAGATTTTAAAATTGACTCGTTACAATCAGTAGTACGATCCTTGCTTACTCCTTTTTGTTCAGGATTGGATCCAGCGGGACCCCTTTTCACCAAAGTCGACGACATTCGCTTCCGATTAGATCCAGATGATGCTG